CGACGGCGGCGGCGAAGGCGAGGCGGAGGGAGGCGGCGGCGAGGGTGAAGGCGACGGTGGGGGCGGGGGGGGCGAGGCGGAGGGAGGCGGCGGGGAGGGCGAGGCGGAGGGAGGCGGCTGGGAGGGCGAGGGCGACGGTGGCGACGGCGAGGGCGAGGACGGCGGTGGTGAGGGCGATGGGAAGGGAGATAGAGCTGGCGGCGAGGGCGAGGCAGAGAAATGTGTTGACTATCGGTAAAACGAGTATCGGACGCTCGCCAGTCCCGTGCCTGTGTCCTTCCAAAATCCTGCTCGTGCAGGTGGAGTACCTGGAGAGCCCTGTCCTCGTTCCCATCCCTCGTTTGGGCTGTCTGCTTTCTTTCTTTCTTAGTGTCGCGAGCGAAAAAAAGGATCCACGCAGGAAAGGATTGAATTTCGTCAGAATTCGTCCGGAAAAGCAAAAGGGAAATCGTATCTTCATGTTTCAACCGCCGATGTTTCCTTGCAGTGTTGCACATCTCCACCCCCCGCCCCCCACCGCCCCTCTCTCGCGTACGTCCTCTCAGAGACAGTTCACACTCTCTATGAGTGCTGCGGGGCTGCATCTGCCGCCGTCCTGGCAGCAGCCGCCCTCGCCCTCGAAGCGGCCGCAGCAGTGCGCGCCGCGTCTGCAGCGGCCGCTGCCTCCTCGAACGCCGCGTCGCTCCCTTCGAGCGCCGTCTCGCCCCCTTCAACTGCCAGATCGGCCTCGACTAGCGCCGCCCTGGCCTCCTCCAGCGCCGCCCTGGCCGCCGCCTGCACCGCCTTGGCCTTCTCCAGCGCTGCTCTGGCCTCCGCCCGCGCAACCTCGGCATCCGCCAGCGCCGCCAATGCTGCCGCCTCATCCTCGGCCTCCTCGTCCGCCTCCGCCTCCTCCTCCGCCTCGTCCGCCGCAGAGTCCAAACGCGCAGCTTCGGCCACCGCTGCCGACGCCGCTGCCTGGTTCTCCGCCGTGATGCTGAACCGCATCCTCTCCTCGGTGAGCGTCTCGAGAAGCCGGAGAAGCCTCACCTCCTCGGCCTTCTTCGCCGCCTCGGCTGCGTCTGCCTCCGACGGCGCCTCGGCACCCTCCTCGGGATCCTGCGACGACCCCGCCGCGCCCGCCCCGCCGCCCTTCTTCTTCTTCTTCTTGCCCTTCTTGCCCTTGGCGCGCTTCTCCGCCTCCTCCTCGGCCTCGATCTCCGCCAGCAGCTCCTCGGCGTGCCGCGCCGCCTCCTTCTCCTCTGCCGCCCTCTGCGCCGCCCTCTCCGCCGCGCCCGCGGCCCACGCCGTCTCCGCCGCCGCCTTCTCCGCCGCCTTCTCCGCCGCCGCATGCTCCTCGAGGGCGCGCACGCACTCGGCGTGGCCCTTCTCCTTGGCCCACTGCAGCGCGGTCCAGCCACGCGTAGTGCACAGCGTCATATCTGCGCCCGCCCGCAGCAGGCGCAGCAGGGCGGCGGGGCGGCCGTTGAAAGCGGCCCGAATCAGTGCGGTGTCGCCGGTGTTGGACTGAAGGTCGATCGCCGCGCCGCGCCGCAACACCAACTCGACCAGCTTCTCGAAGCCATTCGCGGCGGCAAGCATCAGCGCAGTGGTGCCTTGGCTAGTCTGCAACGAGACATCCGCGCCGCGCTGGAGCAGCGCCTCGGCCAGCCCCTCGCGGCCAT